AGAGAGAGAGAGAGAGAGAGAGAGAGAGAGAGAGAGAGAGAGAGAGAGAGAAAGCGAAAAAGATAGATAGATAGATAGATAGATAGATAGATAGATAGATAGATAGATAGATAGATAGATAGATAGATAGATAGATAGATAGATAGATAGATAGATAGATAGATAAGCGGTAGACTTCACCGAATGCAATTTTGAACTCCTTCACCGGAGAGCAAGCAACATCTCACTGCGCACCAAGATGCGACTCTTTAACTCCAACGTCAAGTCTGTGCTCCTCTACGGCTGCAAAACTTAGAAGACAACGAAGACAGTACTGAATAAAATCCAGACTTTCATCAACAGATGTATGAGGAGTATTCTAAGAATTAAGTGGCGGGATAGAATAAGAAATGAAGAGCTATGGTAAAGGACAGGACAAAAGGATATAGAAGTAGAAATAGGACTAAGAAAGTGGCGTTGGATGGTACACATCTTAACCCGCGGAAACATCACAAGACAGTCACTGCAGTGGAACCCACAAGGAGCACGAGGCAGGGGTAGGCCACGGGAAACGTGGAAGAGATGCGTGGAAAGGGACATGAGAGAAATGAAGCTCACTTGGAACGAGCTTGGAAGGATGGCTCAGGACAGAACTAAATGGAAGAAGCTTGTAGTATGTGACCTATACCCTGCCAGGGGTGAAAGGCATTGATGATTGATGATGAGTGTTGAAGACAAGAGGTAGCTAGTAAAGAGTAACATGCAAAGAAAAAAAGCAGAAGAAATAAGGATGATAGATGTGCGATCGGAAAGAGGGAGCAAACTACACCACAGCGCCCGCCTACCACCCACCCTCCCTCTCTCTCTCTCTCTCTCTCTCTCTCTCTCTCTCTCTCTCTCTCTCTCTCTCCCTCTCTCTCTCCCTCCCCCCCCCCTCTCTCTCTCTCTCTCTCTCTCCCCCCCTCTCTCTCTCTCTCTCTCTCTCTCTCTCTCTCTCTTTTGAATAATTAATGTTTTCTCCGGAAATTGAAAATATAAGCTTATTACAGAGGAAGTACACTTGACAATTAAAACTTTAAAACATGGGATTTATGTTTATTTAAAATTTCAGTCTTTGTGATATTTTCGTTTCGCTTACTGATTGATAGCTCCCAATCGCCATAAGCAGATATGATCCTTCTGTATTTAAAATTAAGCGTACCACTCTTTTTTAAATAAACGTTTTTACATAACTTTGTGTTGGAATACCACTTTCAATAATTGGTTGTTTTAGAGGAACACTAGTTGTGGTGTCGTCTCGAGGTTCGAGCACACACGGTGAGTCCAATCGTTTCGTGAGAAATGTTTTCGCCATTTATCTCCGGTTTTTCGAGTAAAAAACAACAACCCGGAGATAAAAAGCTAAAACATTTTTTCTCACGAAACAATTGCACTCACTGTTATACAGAAATTAATCATACTTTCTACGGTTGAAGGATAGAATAGGGATATCAATTGTTTTATCAACTTTAAAATACATGAGCTTCCTTAGAAAAACAGTCTTTTGTTCATATTTTTAAATACAGGAGAGAAGTGTGGACATGCCAGATGAGTTTTTTGTCTATTGTAACGGCCAATCAATTATAATCTGACACTTGCCCGATGTTTTCATTTTTAATTTCGAGTGGCTGGAGGGATAGTTTTTTTTTTTTTTCAAAAGTCAGTAATAAGTTCTTTAGGGTTTTCTTCACTTTTAAAAGCAGCTTAAGATTTTCACACAATTCAGAAAAGCTTTGTACAAAGTTCCGGTAAGCGGTTTCGTTATGGTCAGCCTGAGTGAGC